TGAATTGGTATTCCCAGTCATTTTTATTCCTTTTTCTAATAACGGATAAAAGGCAAATATGAAAACCCCAAAGGAATTTGTGGGGCAGGGGTAGCTATTTTATTAGCACATTCATACTGCACATAACTTACAGTATTTCCACCATACTTTTGCTCCAATTATATGCAATAATTGCAGAAAAAAATTTTAATCTGCTATCTTTTACCTATGTAAAGTTCTGTTTCACAACACTATTCAGAATGTAATGTTAATAATGACTCTGGAAAAGGTTGCCTGTTTTTAAAAATCATAATAATATATGAAAAGCATCCACAGGAATTTAGTAAGATTTAATAAACTAAAAACCAAGGGGAGGACAAGAGCAAAAAAGTATTAAAGCCAGTAAGACCTAATAAAAATAAATTTTAAGTTATAATTTTATTAATATGAAATTTAAGGAAAGCATTCTTAGCAGATGTTTCTACAACAACAAAAAGAAGGTATTTCAGAAGCAAGTTTTAATATAACCTATCCCTTTTTATTTTACAGTGGATGCTTCCTAGAACCTTTATTTACTGTGGTTTTAAAATTCATTTTAATATCATTTTCCCTTCTAACACAGTATTTTTTATGAAACTTTGATCTTGCCAATTAAGGTTTTGCCAACTACAGTTTTCTTCAGCAAGTAATCCCTACAGTTTTCTAAGTCTAAGGACGTTGAGACAACTAACTAAAACAGCATTTAAGGTATCAAGGTGCTGTTATTATTGTAATGAGCCCAAAAGCACCATCATTGACCATATATACCTGAGGTTAACAGTAAACTCATAGCAATCTTTACCAAGGCCTTCATTTTCAACTCTCTAAATTTGAGAAAAAGTTACAGGTACCGAATCATTACTTACTTAATGATTCTATAAGTATAGGTATAATATATAAAATATATAGCTAACCAGTAAAAATAAAACACCACCTTGCCCTGGCTGGTGTGGCTCAGTTGGTTGGAGCATAGTCCCACAGACAGAAAGATCATGGGTTTCATCTCTGGTGGGAGCCCATAGAAGGCAATTGATCCATGATTCTCTCTCACATTAATGTCTCCCTCTCTCTCTGTCTCTCTCCCTCCCTGCCTTTATCTTTCCCTAAAAGCAATGAAAAAATGTCCTTGCGTGAGGATCCAAATATATATATGTAAATCTACCTGTACAGATAAATAGATATATGGTAAAGATACCAAATTATTTATTGATATATATATATGTATATAAATAAAACCACCTTGGACAACAAATACTACAACAAAGAAAATCTTCAGTTTTTGAAGATATGCAAAAGATATCTCCATGTTTGGTGACTACATGAGTGGTGATAATATTAATTAAAACAACAAATAGAAAAAAGGTATAAGTTCAAGAGAAAAAGTTTTGAATGGCATGGCCAATCATACTAACCTACTACCCTACTACTACTACCCTACCCTACTAACCTACTACCCTACCCTACTACCTACTACTATTGTGGATATGCTAAATCCACAATACTTTGCATTTGCATGCTTTTAAAACACCTAGAATATAATTTCTTTAAAATCTTCTATCACTGCATTGCAGTCTCCAACCCTCCATTTGTCTTTTGGAAACACTCTGCCAAAGTGCTGTTTTCCTTAGAAAGCCTTCCCTAATGCACAATTTCTCTGTGCTTCCAAGGCAACCTGAATAAACTGTTATGACAGCTCTGATCACACTATAGTAACAATATTTAAATGTCCGTTGTCTCTAGTCTCTAAGGACTAATGACATTCCTTAGACGTCTACTATTCAATATCTAATAAATAGTACTGAAAATACATATTTTGTTTGAATATGTCCCGAGTGAAAGTTATACAATCAGAGTTTGAGATGAATATAAGAACGTCCAGATGATAATAAATAGAAACATGAATATCAGCCCAGGAATGAAGATATGGCTGATGCTATAGATGTAACTTTATTATAAATTTGGACTGTTACTTTGGCAGATTAAAACAAAATTCACCATCAAATAGTTTATAGATGGACTAATAATTTTCTTCATATTGATAAATATAATGTGTACTTTTTAGTTCCCAACTAAATTGATTTCTCAGCTTCATTCAACAAAGTTAATTAGCCACTCCCACCTTTTTCAAAAAAGTCTATTGCCTTAACCTCAGTGACATCAAGGAAAATTTCCTCCAACCTCTGGTTACACCTTCTCAGCCTCCTTTACTCCATTTTTTTCCTTATGCTTAAATACTGAAGAGTCAACCCGGGCTGGTGGTTCAGTTGCTTGGAGCACCATCTAGTACAGCAAAAGGTTGCACGTTCAATCCCAGTCAGGGCACATGACTAGCTTGCGGGTTGATCCTGGGTCAGGGTACCTACTGGAGTCTCTCTCCCTCCCTCCATCCTCACTTTCGCTCTAGAATCAATGAACGTATCCTTAGGTGAGTATTAAATGATTAAATAAATATTTAAGAGTCATACTGTGACTATGAAAATACCTCTATTTTCTCTCTAAATTCTGTATTTTGCCATGTACAATGTGCACCCACATTTTTGTTCCAATTATATATGGACTATATGCCCGTGGGATGTGATCATTATGCCTATATATATTTTCCCTTCAAAATGTGGGCAAAAACTTCATGTTATACATGGCAAAATAGGTACTTTCTCCTTAGGCCATCTCACTCCCCACCTCCCACACCAAGTCATCAATTATAAGCTATATACTGACTATTCCCAACTGTACTATATTCAATACTCATGCACTTCCACTGTTGGTGGGATTGCAGACTGGTACAACTACTATGGAAAACAGTATGGAATTTTCTCAGAAAACTACAAATGGATATGCCTTTTGACCCAGCAATTCCACTTCTAGGATTATATCCTAAGAACCCTGAAACACCAATCCAAAAGAACCTATGTACTCCAATGTTCATAGCAGCACAATTTACAATAGCCAAGTGCTGGAAGAAACCTAAGTGCCCATCAGTAAATGAATGGATCAAAAAACTATGGTATATTTACACAATGGAATTCTATGCAGCAGAAAGAAAGAAGCTCCTACCCTTTTAGACAGCATGGATGGAACTGGAAAGCATTATGCTAAGCGAAATAATCCAGGTGACAGAAGATAAATACCGTATGATCTCACCTTTAACAGGAACCTAATCAACAAAATAAACAAGCAAAATATAACCAAAGACACTGAAATGGAGAACAGGCTCACAGTGACCAGAGTGGAGGGAAATTCAGGGGAAAAAGGGAAGGGTTTGCAGAAACAATTACAAAGGACACATGGACAAAAACAAGGGGAGGGTGGAAACAGGAGGGAGGTAGGGAGGACTAGGGAGGTGGGCTGGGATGGGGGTAATAGGCAGAAAACTATACTTGAACAATGAATAAAATTAAAAATCATTATAAAAATATGCACTTCAGAAAGTAACAAACAAAACATTGATCCTTTCCCCAAATCCCCTATATTAGACACAAGAACCACTTACCCTGAAACTAGCCTTCTCCTCTCTCCAAACCCCCAAATTTAATCCATCACCAAATCCTATCAATTTTACTTTGATAATACTTGTTAATCCAGCTACTTTATCACTGCCATACTGGACCAAGATTCCATTGTCTCTTGCCTACACTACCCTAATAGCCAAACTCAATTCTACTCAAAAGTGTGGTGTGTGGACCAATACTGTTTTACAAACTATTATTATTAGTCTGAGACAGGTAAATACAGAAACTAAATGGAAGCATTTAGAAATTGTTATAGCCACAACATCCATTTTATTATGTTACCAAAGTACCAGTATAGATTAGAAACTAAAACAAAACAGGTCCTTAACCACAGACACATTTGAGCAGCACCTGCCTATCTGGTCTCCGTTTTTACAGCTGCCTCTCTGATCTGTCCTCCACAGAGGAGCCAAGTGATGTTTTTAAAACGAAAATTTAAGTAACTTACTCAGCTGTTTACCATTCTTCAATGCCTCCCATTTCTCTTAGAATTAAATACAAAATACTTAAGTTTCCAGGCTAAGAAAGAGTGGATTCAACTACAAGGAAAAGCTGGGAAAATGAGTATTGTAAGTGAAGAATCTAGGCCCAGGATTCTTCAAATACAGACAAAGCATCAGAAACCTCCAAAGTAAGGCTGAATGACACTATTCACAAAGAAGCCAAAAGTTGAGATGAGCAAAAGGTGAATCTTATTTTTACTGGATCTACTGCTCAGATGGAGAAAATCCTACCATCTCCTTCATGTGTATGTAAACTCAGAGGAAGAATTAGGAGAAAGGGTACCAGAAAGGAACAGAAAGGGGAGAAGTCAAGACTTGCACCAAGAAGTGCAGAGCTATCGTGTCCTACCTTGGTGGATTTTAGAGAACTTGTGCTTAGAGGTATGGAGGTTGAGGGCATGGCCAGTGTGGCGTGGAGGTACTGAGTGGTGTGACTGGAAGTCGAGAATTCGACCTAAAATGGGTAACAGGGATGACAATGTCGAGTGTACGTGTTTGAGATGAGGAGGTACGCACGGGGACGTTCGTGAGAGGGGAGGGCGTTTCTCGCTTACAGTACTACTCAGGGTGGGAAGAACAGACAAGGTGTGAATGGGCGGGCGTGGTGGAGGTGTACGGGTATAGAGGACGACTGGGGCTGTGGGACGGAAAAGGGGGGTAGACTTGTGGAGGAAAGTCTAGGGGACCCTGGTAGGCGAAAGCTGGGAAATCAAAGGGTGTTTGGCGGGGGGCTGGGAGGTAGGAGTCCCCAGGGGAAGTGGAGACTCGCGTGGAGAGGGCGGTCCGGGGGTACCAAGGGTGGGGCGGAGCGCCTAGGGAGGAAGACCAGCCCTGAGAAAGGGGTAGGCACGAGCAGGAGCGGGTCCCGGACCAATGGGATGCCCCCCCCCCCACCCCGCTCCGGCGCAGGCGAGTCCGCGGGCTGGGGGCCAGGGCTGCAGCAGAGACCCTGAGGGGGAGGGACACCTACCCGGACTTGCGGCACAGTGGCGAGCAGTGCCGGCGGGGGCTCCTCTCCTGCTGAAGCGACAGCGGCGACGGCCACCGGAGCCCAAGGCTGCGGCGGCCGCGAAGGCAGAGGTGATGGCGGCGAGTCCCTGTGGCGGCCGCCTCCGCCGAACCGCATCCCTCCTCCCCGTCCCGCCCTCCTTCCCTATCTCCCGGTCCTGAACTTCTTCCCCGGGATAAACAAACCCGCCGCCAGGGGCGGCCGCCTCCGCCGCTCCCGCCCCCGAACAACCCCCCCACCCCCCGCCCCGGGCCCGTCCGGGCTCCGGCTTCCGAGCTGCGTTTCCAGCCCCAGTCCCAGACTGCGAGGGCGCGTGCGCGCTGCGGTGCGACGGCGGCCCCTCGCGAGGTTCTTTCTGCCTCCCTGCCGCGCTGGGCACTTCCGGGCCAGTCCGGATCTGCCGCCGGGTTTTGGAGGCAGCCGCCGCTGTTGCCACCGTCTGCGCCTGGCACAGGCTTCCTCCTGGCCCGGCTGCTTGGAGGAGGCCGGAGAACCTTACCTTGGGAGATCCCCGGTTAGGCTCAGACTGACCCTTCCTTGCTTAAGACCCCCACTTATAATAATGCCTCCTAGCTCGTGTGGTTGACCCAAGTAGGGTGCGAAAAGCAATAACTGTGTCTGCGCACGATTTCCTGGGGACTTCCCAGGGTAGAACTGTAGGAACGGCTGAAACAAAAACAGCAGTATGGAGTCTATAACGAACGAGAAAGACAAATGACGTGCCACAGTGGAATGGCTTTCCTTTGGACGTGATGAGCCTCAAATGGAAGCCTAGGGCCTAGGAGGGTAGGAGCATGTCTCGGGGCAGCAAAGGAGCAGGCGGTGTCCCAAGACTGGGCGTTAGTAAACAAAGTGCTCTCTAAATAGAGGTCTGAAGAGATGAGGGGACTTCCTCGTGGAACTTAGAGAAACCGGTGATAAAGAACAGAACTTTATTTAGCAAACAATGGGCAAAAGATCATTGATCTAATCGCCAAGCACATTCTCATTTAAAAAAGTTTGAGGAACTTAAGCATGCAGGCCTTGCCAGAGCAGACTTGAGTATCATTTAAGAACTCCGATTCATTTCACTGTAACTGGGTATAATAACTCAACAGACTGCTTATCTGGTTTTCAAAGAAGGGGGGCTGGGGAGAGTGGAGGAAAATCATTTATTATTTTACTATATTGAGCACTGTAAGCAGACTTGTATGATTTTTTTTAAATCCTCTCAACAACTTCACAGCTTCACGGTAGAAATTCTCATCTTACACAAAGCAACTGAGACTCAAAAAGAGTAGCTCATCCCAGTGTTACTGAGGTTCGAAATCTGAAATTTGAAGATCCCCATCACTTAAAATTAATATTACGTTGGCAATCTTATTCATGTATTTAACACAAAACGTGTGTTCCAAAAAAAAAAAAAAATAGAAAAAGATAAGACCAGCCTAACCATAGAGTTCAAAGTTATAGGCCAAGAATTTAAAAACAGAAACAGAAGTGAACACTGGTATGCTGGGAACTGGTGGGGAAAAGAAATATTAGTGTAAAAATTCACATTCCCCAAGTATGAAGAAATAACCATTAAAACCATTTGTTATGCCCTGGAGGGATAGCTCAGTTGGTTAGACAAGTCCTCCCAATAGCCAAGGTTTCAGTTCATCCCTGGTCAGGGCACATACAAGAATCAACCAATAAATGTATAAACAAGTACAACAAGTAAACAAGTACAACAAGTCAATCTCTCTCTCTCTCTCTCTCTCTCTCTCTCTCTCTCTCTGACACACACACACACACACACACACACGCACACACAAATGAAAAATTTTAAAAAAACCTATTTGCTTTACTCTGTGCCTGTGTTAACTTCATGATATGTGACAGATACAGTGAAAATTTATTTTCGCCCAGGCCTTTTAGCTATTTCAACCCCTTAATAGTATATCCTGCCCTCTCTTACACTGGTCAATTTATCACTAATAAAAGTAATATGCTGAAGGAATCAAATTATAATAAATCCTTGAAGGAGAATTTCTAATTGGAGTTCAGGAATGAGTGGGATGGATGACCATTGACACTTGACTGGGTTCTAATCAGGGAATGGTTCAATGAACTAGACTATTATAATAGGCTTTAGTTTATTGCTGCTTTATGTGACTTTTAAAAATACGTTAGAGCTTTATCACTGGTGTACAATATAGTACACTTAACCCCATCATGTATCAGGCTTACATCACTTAAGGCATTAGCCATTAGGGTCACCCAACTACCTAACTCCTTAGATAACAAGAAATTATATGATAATCATTTTGCTACTTGTCAGTTTTCTATGATAATCATTTTGCTGCTTGTCAGTTTTCTGTAGGAAACCAGATTTATCACTGGATGCATCTGACTTTGAAGTTTTACTTACTGTAATTAATAGCTTCATAGTTGCTAAAGATGAGAAGAGCCATCCTCTGAGCTTAAGGAGCACAGATGAGGGCCACAACTTTGAATCTTCTTGACCCAGCCCTACAAGGCTCTGTCTGAAGACCCAGCCGAGCATCCCATTTTGATATGTTAGGGACTGCAGCATCTTATTCCTCTTTTCTAAATGAAAACACCACAGATGTTCCTTTTCAGGGCTGGGTACACACAATGGACTTGACATACACTAATGCATTATTATCTTCTGTTTAGAGGTTAAAAATAATAGTGATATGCTTGTTAACAAGCATGATATACTTCATGAATCCTCAGTGATCACTCTCTTAGCTTCCCTGGACATTGTGCTCATCCCCTTACCTTTATGTGGTCCACCAAGCTCTTCCTCTCATAGTGAGCTGGCTTCCCTTGTTTTTCTAAACTCCCATCTTAAATTTTCTTTAAGGGAACCAAACTCGGGCCTTACTTCTATAGCCTAACACTTGTGATCAGACACTTAAAATTAGCTTTTGGAATTTATGTGGAAAGAAAGGAACAACTCGACTAATTTTTTTTCTCTTTTAATTACAGGCCTGTTATCTGGAAAAGATCACTAGAACCTTTGTTTTAACTTACACATAATTTCATTTTCTCTTCCCATGTCTTCATTTCTTTTTCTATCTCTGGATTTCCACCTTGTTTGTGAATTCCTATTTTATAGTACTTTTGCACTGTATGACACTTTTTAAGGATCCAAAAATTTCAGAACTCTAGTATTATCCCTACCACCTTGTACAGTAATGCCTACAGCAAAAAAAGAGGCCACATTTGATACACTTATTGGCCAAGAGGCCAAGTTTGATTCACTTATCATTCAGAAATCATTCCTAGAAAACTGAGAACAGGGCCCACCCAGAATTCTGAGAACAAGATTATTTTTATGTCTTTGTTTAGGTCCTCCATTGATACCCCTATTTTCATGTCCCCAGCCACATTATATCAAGTATTTCAGGATACTCCATTGTTTCAAATTAAATAAACATTCATATATGTATATTTATTTAGATAAATATAGATATTTATTTATCTGTATTTAGTGTTTTGGTCCTCTGAATAGTCTGTTGAGTCCACTCAACAGAGGAGAGGTGAGGGTCATTTTTGTTTTTCTTCTATCACCATGTGAAGAGTAAGGGTTGAGTTGCAGTTCACTAGTTGGTGTACTGATACATTTTATAGCCACTCAATCAAATATTAATTTTAATCAGGTTTAAAGCATATTTGAGGCTCTTAATGTATTAATAATCTAGATTCTGGGTCAGTAATGCTAAATGAATGAGAAATAGCAATACCACTACCCAAGCAGCATTACATCTTGAGAAATCTTAGTCACCTACTTGTTAAGTTCTCTATTTACAATATAATAGGAAAAAAAAAAAAAAAAGATCTCTTCTACAAAGTTATCCAAAGCCCCCATAGCATCCCTCCAGGCTCATTCCAGGTCACTTACAGTTGCTGAGTATCTTTCACTGTGCCAGGATCTAGGCGGTCACTGCTGCCATGATCTAGTAGTCTCTGATGACCTCTCTCTTCTTTAGCTTGGCCAGCTAAGCTCTCTCCCCTCTGCTGGTGCCCAGGCCGTGTCCCTTCTCTGGTTTCAGGTAACCTGAGAAGTTGCAGTTGATTCTGAACCCTGGAAAGAGTCCCAGGTGAAGCCTAGGGCTCTGCACTGTGCTCTTCAGCCAGAGGTCACCAGCCTCTGCAGCAGTCCCAAATGGCTCTAGAGGTGCAGCTGCTCAGTCTCCTCTTTTATCTCTGCTCAGTCATCACAATGTCTTTAGTCAGGGTCTTTGATCCCCTCCCAGAGAGACACACCCTTCTGCTTATCAGGGCAATTTCTGCCTAGAGGATTTAATTTAAACATCTGCCCCTGCAACACCCACCGGATGGTTCCCTGTCTCCTTTAGCCTTGAAAAAATTGGGGTCACTTTATTCCACTCCCCTCTGACGGTGACTCAAGAAATGGCAACTCTGTAGCTGTTTTCTCTGGCCACGTTAAGGGGTCCTGCCTACAGGGTAACAGACGCCCTCCTGTTTCTCTCAGACTAAGGCACCCCTCCTCCCAAGGGGAAGCATGTAGAATTGGGCCCTCACACCAGCAATCTAAAAGTCCTAGAAAACCCATTGGGTAAACTTCTGTGTTATGTCTGGGTTGGCCCTGCAGCCAGTTAGGCACTAAGTGAACCTCAGTCCGAGTCTTGGAATCTCTGTGCCTCAGTGTTCCTTAACTCTCTCATTTTCCACTATTCTGCTGCCTCAGAACCACTGAGTTCTCCCGCTCAGTCCTTGCTTCCCTTACACCACTTCCCCATTTTGGAAACTAAGCCAGCTATCTAGCTGTTGCCAGTTCTGCATTCATACCCCAACACAGCTCTGAGTGGCCACCTGCCTCCAGATTGTTCCCTTTGCTCTTCAGAACCCTTTGCTGCCAACCCGCCTGCCAGGTTGGAAACCTTGGTATAGCCATTTCCAAAATTAGAAACTAGACTGTGCCATCTCTAGGGACACCACATCCGTACTTCCTAGCACCTGGTAAAGCCCTACCTCTGCCACTGTCACCCTTCCCTCAAAACTTCTCCTTTTCTCCCTCCCCTACATTTCTGTCCTTGATGTTTTGGGTTTTGGCTTCCCCGCCTTGCCTGCCCATTCTTGCCTGACCTCCTCTGTCTGAACTATGCCAGGCCAAAGAAGGGCCAACTTAAGGGCTACATAAATACTGGATGTGGGGATTCATGTCACATACTAACAAACACTGG